TTAAAGAGAAGCTAGATAATTTCATGGAGGTTAGGTCCATAAAAGGCTATTAGCCAGGGGATAAAATGGTGTCCTTGGCCTCTGTTTGTCAGAGGCTGGAGAAGGATGACAGGAGACAAATCGCTTGGTCATTGTCTTCTCTGGGGCACCTGGTGCTGGCCACTGTTGGCAGACAGGCTACTGGGCTAGATGGACCTTTGGTCTGACCCAGTGCGGCCGTTCTTATGTTCTTAACTTCTAATACAGGGTACTGAAAGTTCCAGAGCATAGGAAGCTGGAAGGAGCTGGGATGCTGTAAATCAGAGTTGCAGATCCATTTTTGGGACAGAAAAATCAGTCAAGGGCCACACACAAATGAGAAGAAAAATCAAACCTTCACTGACATGGTCCCTGACTAAGAAGGAGAAAGACACTCCCCACATTCCCCTCGCACACCAGAGCCTGGAGGGTCCAGGCTAGTAGATTTTGTGTGCTCCAGCCCTGCAGGTCTCAGGGGCAGGATCCAGGAAAGTCAAGGCATCTAGCCCCAGGCCTGAGGTTCCCCACCCCAGCTACAGATTCACACCCTGGTTTGCTACAAAGATGAGCCCTAAAATTGCACCTGGCCATGTGACACCTCTTTGTCCGGACACAAGGCCCACATCTGTATGCACTGTCTGGGTGGTCATGCATGCACTGGATGCAAAAGGGGACAAGTACAGAACCTGCAGGCAACTCTTCCAGTGCTCACTGAGAACAGATTGACAAAGCATCTTGGATCAAGGTATGCACAGGCAGAGATTTTCAGAGGCACAAATGGCAGCAAGAGGAATACCATTTGTTTGAAGCCCACAGTGCAGTGTGGGTTTATGTGGGGCTCAACATGAGGAACACGCTCCACAATGGGGAGTCAATATCGTGGTCTTCTGTTGATATGTGTTTTAGTAGTTAAATTCCTGGACTATCATTGCTCATTAAAAGTGCTGTCATATGGGTGGAAATCAGGTAAATATTGGATTTTATTAATATCAGCAGAACTGACTTAAATAGGGTCTGTGTGTTATGTAGTCTTGCCTTAATTTTTGTATTCATGCCCTTCAATGTGAAAAAAGCTATTTGCATATATATTTGCATGTATATACAACCACACTTAAGTTGCCGCCCTTGGCATGTGCTGTGAGTACTGCGGTCCCCAAGGCTTCCAAAGATGAGCAGCCCTGCTCTACATAGACTCTAATAATCAGCAGAAATAAGAGATCATGTACCAAACACACCTACTGGGTGTGGCTCACTGTCCCACATAGTGGCACTGAGACCACTTACAGAGAGAGAATGAGTGTGCCCGACAGCCTTAGCTGAAAGCCAGCTGGCTTTTAGCTCAAACTGTAGAGCTGGGGTGGGAAACCTAAAGCCCAGGAACCCAAGGAGGCCCCCAGCTTGCCTGGATCCAGCCCCTGAAGCTCAGGGCTGCCCCCTCCTGCATTGGGAAGCCTATGTTTATGCTCCAGACCTCTGGCCCCCTACCCCACTGCGGCATTAGAGCACACAAAATCTATTAGCCTTGAGCCTCCTAGGCGCTGGTATGAGAGGGGAATATGGGGAGTGTCTTTCTCCTTCTCAGTCAGCGCCATGTCACCGAGAGTTTGGGTTTTTTCCTTCCTTCTCACTTGTGTGTGGCCCCTGACTGATCTTCCTGTGGGTCAGCAGCCCCCAACCTAAAAAAGATTCTGAGCTGTAGAAGTTCATGACCTCAGCTCCAGAATACTAGGGATGTTAAGAAGCGTGTAATTTGTTGATTGTGTAGTCAACAAAAATTTTGTCATCTACACAATTAATCAATAAGGGATAGCACTGCAAGCACTCAATGTAGAGCTACCCCCTCTGCGTCTCTGCAGGCAGCCTGAGTCAGTCCTGGGAGCTATATGCATGTTATTTCAGAGCAGCACTTGGCCAGCTCACTAAAAAATTTACTGGTCAGAGCCGCTGGTGGAAGAGGGGTGGTGGTTGCATGTAGCCTATATCATTAACTGATAAGCATTCACTTACCCGTTAATAGTTTAATAAGCTACTGTCACACCCCTATTAAGTACACAGTTTAGACTTCTTCTGTTCTGCTACATTAATATTCTGAGACTGAGTCCACCACCACAGTATCGAAATACTTCTCAGCTCTTCTTGCCAATTTGTTTTGCTCTTCATGGAGTTACCTTGGGTTTGACAAATCAACCTGCACTGAGTCTCCAAGGTAGTTGAATGCAAGCCTGAGAAAACAGTAGTGGTCATGAAAGAAAAAGGAACCCCCAGAAGCGAAGGAGGAGGCAGAATTTCCCGGTAGGTCCCCACCCAAGGGAAGCTGCCCGAAAGACAATCTTGGAGAACCCCATTCTGAGCAGCCACAGCGAAAGAGGGGTGAGCCAAGCACGCACAACCCAAACCCTTATCCTGTGTGTTACTAAAGTGCCAATTGCAAGGCTGCTTTGATTCATATGCATATGCCTATAGAATGCCACACCTGTTCCATTCCCTCCTCAGTCCCTAATCTGAAGGCTGCTTTAACTGCCCTCCCCAGCAGCAGCCATGTGAGCTCAATTTCCAACGTAAGGCAAAAAGAAAAGGAGGGTGTGTGCTTGTTTATTAACTTTTTCTATCCAGGGATAAATCCATTTAAAATGTTTCCTCTTATTATTCTACAATGGGATCCCCCAAAACAGAGGAGAGAAGCAGCATCTGCCTTCCACATCTCAGCCATCTGCCCATGCTAACAGAGCTGTACGTGAAAGACACGGTGTCAGACCCGACCTCTGTGTGACCACAGATTCCACACCTCTTTTGAACAGCCACACTCTATTACCAAGGCTCATAGCAAAGCCAAAGCCAGATCTGGGGGAGGGATGAATAGCAGCAGCACTGCTGAATAAACTGCTGCACACAGACAAACGGAAACCACAAACTAAGAACTGAAGCCAATCCACTGCACACGACAGTTTCCAATCCAGTGTAACCATTTGCTCTCAAGGACACGTTTTGAACTCACATTGTTCACCACGTTGCTTTCAGCACCGCCTGCTGGACAATTCAGTGACCCCAGTGTCCCCAAGCAGGCTGGATGCTTAGTGTTGTCATTCAATGCTGTTTGAATCATGGCACCATGGAACTTCCAAAAGAGAACACCACTCTAGGAGTCTAGCCCTGCCTGCCGCAAAAATCCAAGCACTGCATTCATCTCCTCCACTGTGCACCTAGCAAGTGCACTGAAAGAGTGATCCCTAGGGGTGGAAAAACCACACTGAGCCCTTGGGCCGTGACGACACTCTGATACGATACTCTTTCCAGTCCCTGGCAAAGCCAGAAAAGCCATAGGCATTGCTCTACAAAGTGGCTCTCCAGAAAGCAATAAAGGGCAAACTCATTCCACTAATCCAAGGTTTTTCTCAACGTTTCCAGGTCAATGACCCCTTCAATGTTAAAAATGTCTGCAATACCCTCACATTGACTTCAAAAGAAGACAAACATGCATCAGTTACAATAATAAGCTGAGAGAATGCACCTGTATGCATTCTGAAAGGCTGATAGAGAGCTACCTGCCTTGAAGGATAAGGGTGTGTGGGAAGTATGGGGAGAAGGTTTCTTTGTTTGAATGTGTTAAAATGTTAAAGGTCTCACAACACTCCCCACTGAGGGTCGCAACCAAACATTGGCCTAGAGGAGCAGCACTGAGATCACTGGGAACTCTGCACACCAGACAGGTGCAGAATGCTAGCTGTAACCTTTTAGATAAGCCCTGTGACAGAGGTGTCTCATGAAGGGGCCCCAGGACTCCCCCTTGCTCTGGCCCTTCCCTCACCTTTTCTCTCACTGTGGTGGTTGCCCAGGGACTAGTGTGGTCAAAGGGCCAGTGTCGGCAACAGGAAACCATGCCTGCCCCCTCTGCACTCATCCACAGTGGGGAGGGTGGAAGCATAACAAGGCAGCCTCAGCTCATGTTGCTTGGCAGTTGCTCTGCAGCCATGCCAATTCTGAGGAATGCTGGGGTGATCCTGACCCTCTTTTCCCCAGCCCTCCTGCCTTGTGGGGGTACATGTGACCCCTCATGCCCCCCCACACATCACCCCTGCCACGTGATACCAAAGTGCTCTGCCTATGGCAGAGGCAAATATTTTCAAACAAGACCAATGGGAGCTCCAGGCGCTACTTCCATCCAGGTGCCTAAACATGGGATTTGGATGTCTGAGGTATCTAGGTTTGAACATGATAGATTCAATACTGTGCTTACAAGCTACACAGAAGGGCGGCCATCACTAGAGGACAAGGAGGCAGGCAAGAGACCAACCTTCCAGCACATCCAACCAGGTGAGGCAATGTTTCCTCTAATTTTGTCCTCCCATGTGTGGAATAAACTTTGTTCAGTGCAGCTGTACACCACCAACATAAACACATACCGCCAGCTTTGGGTGCCCTGCTTATCAGCTAGGCAGAACCTGGATCTCTCCTGGGTGGCTGCCCTCTGGTAAGAGGGGAGTTTGAGGTAAGATCACCAGGCTGATGGAGAGCATCACAGGATTTGTGTCATCCACACACAACAGAGAGCACCCACTTTTCTGTGGGCTCATACTACAGTTTCGCAGTAACTCAAGAACTCAATTTACCCCAGCAGCATGTTATGCTGAGTGGTTCCTGTTGGTCAATCACAGGATCAGGAGATTCCAGGGCAGCATTCTAGGTACTGCAAATCCAAGGCTTGTCTCATTAAACCCTCCAGCAACACAGAGCCCCACTGCACAATTAGCACCCTTTGTGCTGGCAGCAATTGCCACAAGAGACCATATTACATGTCAGTCATCAGCATGTGCTACTGTCTAAGAGCTGCCAGAAATCCAGTTCCCACTCCTGTATTGGCCTGGTCCTCGTCAATTCTTACAAGGCTGATAATAATACAGACAGCACTGCTGGCATACACCCAGTACAACTGCTGTGCGAACTCCTCAGTCAATTCAACAAGAGCTGGTTGGTAAGTGACTTACCCTGTTCTCATCATAGATTATCTGCACTAAGCTGCGATGCTTGGACTCAATGGGTGGGGGCGATATCGGTTTCTCAGGCTCCGGTGGTTTGGCTGCTTCCTCCTCCAACTGTTGCTGCAAAAGGTTGAAAAGAAGAGAAGGAAAAAAATTAAATGAGTGGTTCAAAAAAAGAAACGCTGTCCACCTGAGACTGGTTCCTGCGCAACAGATATAGATAACCTAACCATAAACCACTTCCTGTGAGACATCAGCAAGCCAACAGGGCTCAGAGATGAGGAACATAATCCTTTCATGTCTTCTGGCCACAAACGGTGGGGAAAGTGGCCTTCTCAGATCTGGCCTGTGAATCTCGAGTAGAGGGGTGACACATTAAAAAGCAGCATAATGGAAATTCCATGGTGGAAAAATATTTCTCAGGGCACCAAAAATTCCTTGTGTAGGTCTTAACTTGGAGTTGCACAAGTACCTTGTGTAGGTCTTAACTCTCCCCACTCTTGTGTTTAAAGGGGAGAATGGGGAGAGTTTAGGGATTATTGAACTCTTTAGGCTTAATATTCCACTGCTGATTTCCTAGTTCTTCACTTGAATGAGATGCCTTCTGTGGTTGGATATAAGCCTTTTTCTATTTACTGCAGAACCTCACTCAAGCATGCGGGCTCCCAGGGGCTAGGCACTGTACAGCGAGGATCAAAGTCAAAGTGCTTGAGAGAACTCACAATCTGGTGTCAGACGGGGTACTGTAGGCAGACAATACAAACGAGGTGGGGTGGATGAGGGAACACCAGCATGAACCGACTTCAGAAGGAAGGCAGAAGAGACAGCTCTCCTACATAGGAGCCAAGCAGGAGGGAGCTGCAAGCAACCCGGCAGAGGCAATATGTAAGCAAGGATTCAGAAAAGCGGGAGATGGCAGCTGTAGGAATCTCAAAGAGAAAGGGGAGTACATCCTGTGCATAAAGGGCAGGAGACAGGGCAGAGACATAGAAGGGAAATGGGCAGGTAGACCACAGAGAGGCACAGTCTCAATCATACAGTCCAACACCCTGTTTCTGGAAGGGGGTTTTCAAATCCCCTTTTCTTTTTTCCATTAAGCTCAGGGAATTGAACGGAATCTGGTGAAAACTCAACAACCCAACAGAGGCAAACTAGAGAAGGCTGAGTAAGGTTAGGAAGTGTTCAGTTCAGTTTCCCCTGCCCTGGAGAGAGATTGCAAGTGAATGAATCAATGGCATAGTCAAAAGGGCCCACTTGGTCCATTCAGGCCCACCCAGGACTTGTACTTGAGATGGAAAAAATTAGAGGGAACAGTGGTTAGGACCAACATGTTTAACTCCACCTGGGAACGAACAGCAATCAGGATCTTGAAGAACTACTTTCCCCTGGTGTTTACAGGACACTTCTACAGATTGAATGTCTTTAATCCAGCACCCTCGGGACCTGACTGGTACCAAAACAGAGAATTTGCTGGACCATGGAGGTCAATACTGTCTAGTAGATTACCCGCTCTCTCACTGCTAATTGGGTTCTTAGAAGACATTTAGGGGTAAACTAGAGCTAAATAACAGCACAGAGCACTGAGACTGTAAACAAGCTTTTACAGGACTGGTGACTGTAAACACACTTTATGGGACTGTGGAAAACTTGGTTACAATTATGATCAGTGGACATCCAGCTAACTAAAATCATTCTGGACCACAGATGTTGCCAGACCAGAGAGTGCTGGACCACAGAGGTTCAACCTATAGTTCTTTCTTCAACTAGAATCTCTTCCAAACAAAGCTAGGTCCCTACAGCAAAGTTCCAATCCAGACCAGAATTTTCCTAGAGTCTACGACCATTAGGATCCAGGATTTTGGTATGGGGGATGAAATGCCTGCACTATTCTCACAATAGAAAAGATGTGCTTTGCAGTCCCCCAAATGACAACATCCAGAAACTCAAAACAGAAGAGCCACAGATTATTAAAAATTAAAAAAAAAAAAAAAAAAAAACCTATTTGGGAAAGGATTTGGGAAACTGTGATAAAGTGTTTTGGCACATACACAAAGATTCTTCAAGTGGCTGAATCTGTTCTAATTGGTCCAAAGAAGATCTTGATGGCAAATCTAGGAATGTTAAGAGGTATGTATTTAACTAATTTAGTAGTCGATAGAATTTTTATCGACTACTTGATTAGTCGATAGGCAGCCCGGATCAGACCCTGGTTGTGCCAGGAGTGGGACCAAACCCCGCTGCAGAGCTGCAATTTGAAAGACAGCAGCAGCCGGGCAGCCTGCTCCCCTTCTCCCCACACTGTGTTTTAAATTGCAGAGTCACGATGAGGTTTGGTCCCAGACCAGCATAAGCTGAGACTGAGCCAGGCTGCCTGCCCAGGTGGCAGCAGCCCCTGTCCACAGGGGTTCCAGTGGGGAGCTGGGACCTCCCATGGGCAGGGGCTGCTTTGTGGCAACAGCCCCTGCCCCAACCCTGCTGCCTCTGACAGTGCTGAGGGGGGAAATGAAAGTAGCCAACAAGTCGAATACTCCCCCTTATATCCCTAGGCAAATTCAGAAATGAATATCTGACAGTAAGTGGATGCCATTAAAGATAGCTCCTTAAAAACAAAACCAGCACCCCTGCAAATCTAAGTTTAACTAAAATGCATGGAAGAATTACAGTGTCTCTACTCTGTATGGGTACAGTACTGAACAATTATGGAAAGTGCAGGTCCACCAGTTAGAATATATGGCCTAGAGAGAGGTACTTCCCCCCTCCATGCTCTCTGAGATCACAAACCTGACCTCAGTAGGTTTAGCCAGCAATAGTTTCCCTCGGAATTTGTGGAAAATGGCAAAGCAAAATAGGTCAAGGTACTCAGACACGAACAAAGACAGATCTTAAAGGTCTGCCAAAAAAACCAGGCTGGGACTGTGACCTTTACAATCAGAAAATCAGAATGAGACTTGACAGTGACACGCCAACCCTGCACTAGCAGTTGCCTGCAACTTCCCTCTTCTTCAAGGATGAAAATCCCGCTGTAGTGTCTTGTAGGCAACACAAAGCCTGGTCATTAGCGACATCCTAAGCTTCCCTTTTCTCTTAAAACCAATCCCTTTCTAAATGAAGGCAGCACCTCTTCCCTTTCCCCAGCTTCAAATACTTAATCTGCAATACATATGGCAGCAAGCCAGATTCCCTCCCATTTGATCATGTTGCATGAGTAATGAGCTGACATAGCTTTGACTGTGTCTGGCTTTTCCAGTCTTCTGTGAATCTAGTCATTATTTGGAAGGGTTGCCCATCCTCAGAGGTAGCTATCATTTGAATGTTTATGATTAATCCAGGCACATGCTATTTCATAGGCAGAAATCGCTAGTGATTAAGCTACACATGCACAAAACCATGGAAACTTAAACAAAAAAGAAACAGGAGTCCCGTGGCACCTTAAAGACGAACAAATGTTTTTGCCCATGAAAGCTTAAGCCCACATAAATCTGTTCATCTATAAGTTGCCACAGGACTCCTCGTTTTTTTTGCCAATATAGACTAACACAATTGCCCCTCTGAGACTTGCCCAAAAGAAGCAGGGTTTCCAGATCAAGAAATCAATTTCTAAAAATTTTTCTAAGGACAAGAGGCTGAGAAACAGCAGATAAAATTCAGTAGGGGGAATTGTTCTTTAACATGATGAGCCTACCAAGCAGATTTAGCAAATAGGCGATGTCTCACAAGAGTTCCTCTACCATAATGCAAAATCCCAGACCACTACTGGCTCCATCTTTGCCAGCAGGTGTCAGTGTTGCACTTCCAAAAAGCATTTTGGTGGCAGCTTTGAAAGCTTTTTGCAAAGAAAGACAATCCCAGAGAAACACTGTCTTTCTTTGGTCTAGAGCTAGAACTGCCTGGAGAGCATCTGTTATTTTCATAAAAGGGAAGGCTAGTTGGAGACGTGAAAGACATTTAAGACATAGGAAACAGAAATGGCACATGTATGCAGCTAGCTGGGGAGGTGCCAATGGACAAAGAAGCTCATTTGTGCTTTGGATTTCAGGAAAGAAAGGCTCCTGCACTGCTGCAAACTTTCCTTGATCAGAACCCCTCCTGCCAGCAAGAGCCTTCATCACTATTTTTGGAATTACCAAGGAGACACTGTTGCTGTGCTCCCTCTCTCGCTCTGTGTGTGTGTGTGTGTGTGTGTGTATGTGTGTGTGCGCACACGGGTTTTGAGTACAAATGTATTTAATTATCTCTAGAAGACCTCACAAGGACAGAGGGAAAATGTATTAAGACATAAGGGTTTCATACAAGTCCCCTGCTGCTCTACTGTTTGCTCAAGGAAGATCTGGCTAATATCTTTCGTTCTCTCTCTTACGCGCTCTCTCTCACATGCTTTAAAAGACAATGGTTCAGAAGCCCAGATGGGCCAAAGGTTCTTAAAGTATTACAGACAGGGACTTTTCTGTGCTCTCGTTTCCCCCCAAACCTCTCAAATCTTTTCCATCTATGTGTAGATTTTTTCCACTCATGTGAAGAATAATTTTTATTGCATGTGGGAATGTGCACCACACTCAGAAACACAGAACCTAGCGGTGGGTGCTCTGCTACTCAGCTGGGTGGCATTGGAATCTCTCCTGAGATACCGCACAAGTGCCCAGCTTACAGGGAACTCTGCAAAATATGTTCTCTTGCAGTGTATCCTAAAAGGGCAGATGTCCAAACTTTCTAAAGGACAGGGAAGGCCTTTGTCAATATCAGTAACTAACCACTAAGCAACAGAACCACAGGCAGAGAAAAGGGAGAAGGGATTTAGATGTCAGCAGTCACCTTTATAACTAAACTGAGCATTTGCAGAGGATTTATAAAATCAATGTTGGGGAGAAAACATGCAAACAACAACAGTCTTTTCTTTCCAGGAGGAAAGAACTGACCTGGATTTGAAAGGTGCTAAGTACCTGCAGTTCCCTTAACTTCAATCTGTGAGTACCCAGAAGCACTGGAGAAGCCAGATTATAGATCTGTTAGGCTACATCTACATTGCACAGTTATTTCGGAATAAGCTATTCTGGAATAGTTATTCCAAAACAGTTTATTTCGAAATAGCACGTCTACACTGCAGGGAAGTCTCAAAATTAGTCGCTTCCCTAATGCAGACGTCCTATCTCAATTTAGAGCCCCAGGAGGAATAACTTAGAATGGTTCTGGGGAGGGGCCATTTCGAAATAGCAGAAGTGGAGCATCTACACATGCCTTACTTTCAAATAGATATTTTGGAATAAGCATTATTCCTCATAGAATGAGGTTTACAGAAGTCAGAATAAGCCATCCGTTATTTTGAAATTATTTCGAAATAATGGAATTGCTGTGTAGACACATAGTTATCTCAGAATAGCGTCCGTTATTCCGAAATAACTTTGCTGTGTAGACACACCCTTAGAGGCTACAGGCCTCAACAACTACTGTGTATTCCCCACAGAATATCTCCAAACTGGATTTACTTTCCCAGAATCACCCTGACCTAAGACTGACTTTCCACTAGAAAACAAGTCAACCTTCCCAGCGGGGCTTCACTTGTAGCCAGACTTGTACATGCCTGGAATGCCTGAGTCCTTGGTAAAGCCAGGTGGCTTAAGGAGCAACAAGGTGCTAACGAATTAGACCATATTGTACTGGACAGGTTAAATCCCCCTTTTATGAAAACTGACGAATCACCCTGACCTAAGACTGACTTTCCACTAGAAAACAAGTCAACCTTCCCAGCGGGGCTTCACTTGTAGCCAGACTTGTACATGCCTGGAATGCCTGAGTCCTTGGTAAAGCCAGGTGGCTTAAGGAGCAACAAGGTGCTAACGAATTAGACCATATTGTACTGGACAGGTTAAATCCCCCTTTTATGAAAACTGACCCTTGGTGAAAACTGACAGCTTCTTTCCTGAAACTGGTGCGAAGAGGCAGCACCGCCAGAGAAGAGCCACCCTCCGCACAAATGGGGCGGTACCTGGGGCACACTGATGCACTGCAGCCAGCTTGGGCAGGTCTGAAGGCGAAGCAGGCAAAAAAAAGCAGCAGGATCAGGCAATCAGAAAACTCCTAGACCATTCTTGTGCCTTCTCTTCCAATTTCTCTGATGTGCAGAGCAGGGACAGAGGGAGGCTGTCCTACCCTTTCCCTGGGCTGGGAGGTGGGAGGCTATGTGGCTGGTGGGCCTCCTGGATTCTCCCCAGACCAGTTGCATCTGGCCCCTTCATCCATGGGAGTCAGGGGAAACTCTGTGGGCTCAAGTGCTCCAGATATTCCAACTGCACC